ATCACCCAAACAGAAAAATCAGTAAAGAAATAACATCCTTAAATGACACATTAGACCAACTGGACATAATTGACATTTACAGAGCCTTCCATACCAAAACAGCTGCTTATACATTCTTCTCTAGTGCACATGGAACATTCTCGAGGATTGACCACATACTGGGACTCAAACATAGCAGTATGGAAATTAAAGCAATCATCAAAAACCTACCAAAAAGTACAAATCCAGGAGCAGATGGCTTCACCTGTGAATTCTACCCAATATTCAAAGAAGATTTAATACAAATTCTCCTCAAACTCTTCCCAAAAAATCAAAGAGGATATAATACTTCCCAACTCATTTTATGAGGCAAATATTACCCTGACACCAAAACTTGCTAAAGATAACACACACAAAAAGAAAACTACAGACCAATATCTCTCATGAATACAGATGCAAAAATTTTAAATAAGATACTAGAGAACCAAATACAGCAATATTAAAAAGATTATAGACCACGACCAAATGGGCTTCATCCCGGGGGCACAGGGATGGTTCAACATATGCAAATCAATTAATGTGATACACCACATAAACAAATTAAAATATAAGAATCATATGATCATATCAATAGATGCAAAAAAAGTCTTCGACAAGATACAGCATCCATTTATGATACAAACACTTAACAAAATTGATACAGAAGTTAAAAACCTTCCAAGATCGGAAACAAGGCAAGGCTGTCCACTATCACCATTCTTATTCATTATAACATTGGAGGTCCTAGCAAGTGCAGTCAGGCAAGAGAAAGATATAAAAGGCATCCAAATAGGAAATGTAGAAGTCAAATTGTCACTATTTGCGGATGACATGATTCTCTATATAGAAAACCCCAAAGACTCCACAAGAACACTACTAGAAATAATAAGCAAATACAGTAAAATTTCTGGATACAAAATCAATGTCAAAAATCCATAGCATTCCTATACTCTAATAACAAAGTGTCAAAAAAAGAAATGGAAAAAATAATTCCTTTTGCAATTGCCCCACGAAGAATAAAATACCTAGGAATAAATTTAACAAAACTTGTGAGGACCTATATAATAAAAAGTACAAGACTCTATTAAAAGTAATTGAAGAAGATACAAAGAAATGAAATGATATTCCATGTTCTCGGATTAGAAGAATCAACATAGTTAAAAAAAAAAAACATTACCAAAAGGATTATACAGATTTAATACAATCCCAATCAAAATCCCATCAGCATTTTTTAAAGAAATGGAACAAAAAATCATCAGGTTTTTATGGAAGCACATCAAACCCCGAATTTAACAAAGTCATTCTGAGAAAAAAGAATGAGACTGGAAGCATCACTCTGCTTGACTTCAAATTATACTACTAAGTGACACTAATCAAAATGGCATGGTATTGGCAGCAAAACAGACAACGAACCAGTGGAACAATATTGAGTGTCCAGAAGTAAACACATATTTATATGGGCAAATAATTTTTGACAAAAAGCCAAAAACATACAGTGGAGAAAGGAAAGCCTCTTCAATAAATGGTGCTGGGAAAACTGAAAAACCACCTGCAAAAGAATGAAACTAGATTGTTGTCTATCACCTTCACACCCAAATTAACTTAAAATGGATTAAGGGCCTGAATATAAGACCTGAAACAATAAATGCATAGAAGAAAACATAGAAACTAAACTCATGGACCATGAACTTAAAGAAGATTTTATGAATTTGACCTCAAAGGGTGGGATAGAGAAAATTTAGTTAAAAAACAAAACAAACCTGAAGTCCTCTTAAATGTAGGCATGTTCTACCAATGAATTCTACTTACATAAATACCTTGATGTCCTTTCCTTTCACTAAGGCACTTCTGGGAAGAAATATCTGTATCCATAACTGCTCCTTTATTACATATTTACTTCTCATTCTCCTGAGTCTTATTCTTCGGGGTTTTTTTTTTTTTATTTCATTTCGTTGAAGCTATTTTTGTAAGTTTAGCAATTTATCAGAATAAACAATTATGATGGAGATTTTAAAAGCCTACTACGTTGAGCTCTGAGCAAGTTGTTGCACATTTAACTAAATTTTCTCTATCCCACCCTTTATACCTTTCTCCCTCTTTTCCTTTCTCTTCTGAAAAGCAGTTGTTATGTGCCTCATGTATATGAAGGAATTTTGCCATGTGCTCTTGATGGGAAGAAAAAAATATGGCATAAGCCTTTAAATTTTAGAAATATAGAAAGACAAGTTAGTATATATTTCACCATGAGAACAAATGATAATTCTAAGAAAGACTTAAGCACATGATACATTTCTCCTTGACATATTTCACTTGGTTTCTAGATTTTCTTTTATGTACCTAACCTTAAGAAGTACTTGACATAGTAATGTTGAGATACTGGGAAATTTAGGAAGAATACTTTCAGTGGGATGGAAGAGAGCATTCAGAATGGATTTCAGAGAGAATAAAAAAAGAGGGGGGGGGGAGAGGAAAAGACAAGGGACCCTAAATACCATTTTCAGAATTTCCTCCATGAAGGAACATGAAATAATGTTACTAATTTCTGTTGAATGGAATTGGTTCAGAAGTCAGCTTGGCATCTGAGCCAATCTTCAGCCTATTCTTCAGTCAACAACAAACAATTTATACTAGTTTACCAGTTCGATTCAAACCTTTTCTCGTCTTCTACTGATTTGATTTAAATTTTGGTTCTCCTCAAAATTTTATCCTGGGTTCTTTTCACCCTTAAACTATTCAAATTTGCTGGTAATTCTATCTATTAGTTATCACCTTCAATATGGCAACTTCTATAAAAACATTTCCAACTTAGATGTTTTTGACCTCCTTTACCTTATCCACCTCTCGCCTCCCTCTCTCTCTGGTAACAACTAAACTGTCATTCACGTCCATGATTCTCTGTTTGTCTTATTTATTTGTTGCTTTCAGTTTTATATTCCACATATGAGTTAAATTATATGCTTCTCAATTTTTTTTCACTTATTTTGCTTAGCATGATAATCTCTAAACCCATTCATGTTGTCACAAATGGCAGTATTTCATCCGTTCTTATGGCTGAGTAATATTTCACTATATATGTGTACCACTTCTTCTTTATCCAATTATCTATCAAAGGGCACTTCAGTTGTTTTCATGTCTTGACCACCATGAATAATGCTGCTATGAACACCAAGGTACATATATATGTACAGATAAATGTTTTCAAATTTCGAGGGTAGATACCCAGAAGAGGATTTTCTGGGTCATATGGTAATTATAGCCTTAATTTTTTGAGGAACCTCCATATTGTTTTCAATAGTGGCTGTACCAATTTACATTGGTACAGTGTATGAAGGTTCCTTTCCCCCACAACCTCTCCAACACTTGTTATTACTTATCTTGTTAATAATAGCCATTCTAATAGGTGGTATCTTATTGTGGTTTTGGTTTGCATTTCCCTAATAGCTAGTATAGTCAAGCATCTTTTCATATGTCTGTTGGCCATTTGCATGCCTTCTCAGGAGAAGTGTCTGTTCAGGTCCTCTGCCCACTTTTTAATTAGATTATTTGTTTTGCTGTTGTTATTGAGTTGTATGAGTTCATTGTATATTTTGGACATTAGCCCCTTATCAGAGGCATTGTTTGCAAATATCTTCTTCCATTCCATTGGTTGCCTCTTTGTCTTGTTGTTGGTTTCTTTTGCTGTGCAGAAGCTTTTTAGTTTGATATAATCCCATTTATTTATTTTTGCTTTTACTTCCCTTGCCTTTGAGGTTACTATTTTTAATATTTCTTTATTATAATCACAAGAAAGTTTGACCCAAAGCATCTTAGATGATTTTTCTGATGGTGTGAGGATTGAGGTAGTAGAAAAAAATCCTTTAACGATTAGGTGTTAAGTGGAGACCCATTTGATAAAGATGTCTATTACTTAGTGATCCACGTCAAACAAGACTATTACAGAAGCAGGGGCTTTTTTTCTAGTTGTTCTCTCCTAAAACCAATATATTCAGATTTTCATTTTTTTCTAATCATAGCTCATTAAAAATAAAATGTTTTCCTAAAGTCAAATCTTTTTCTGACAAAATCATCCTAACCAATTGAAAGAGATCTCTGTTTCATGGCACATATTCGATGAAGATATATTATTAACACCATTAGTATTTTTAAAAATTTTATTACAAAAATTTTAAGCATGTACAAATAAGAGTATTATCATGAATCTCCATCTACCCATCACCCAGCTTCAATAATTATCAACATTATGCCATTTTTGTATCTTCTACACTTCCATCCACTATGCAACCCAATAATTATTGGTGTTGTTTATTATTATTATTATTATTATTATTATTATTATTATTATTATAATTTAGAAGCTTACAGGTCAAAATGACTTGCATTGAAATGTGCAAGTTTTATCTCTACTATATTGACAAATGGATACAGCCATGGAACTTAAATCATCCCTAACACAACATAGAGCCTTTCTATCTTTCAAAAATTTTTCTAATGTGTTTTTGCAGTCATTTTCTCTCTCTACACCCAACAGATATAATAACTGTTCTGTTGTTTTTGACATTAAATTAGTTATACTTATTCTGAAACAATATAAAGTTAATAATAAAATACACTATTTTGTGTCCTGATTCTTTTTACTCACAAATTTTGCATGTACTTGGGAACAAAAACCTCTGAGAAGCCATTCTATCTATTCCAGAGGGAAAAACAAGTTCATTGAATATTCAAGGATTCAATAGATTCTTGTTCTCATCAGGAAAAATGCCTCAGGTCCCATGCCTCCTTTTATAAGCTTACCTCAGAGTAATAACATCTCTATTCTCAGGGGGATAGAGTGAAGCTATTTTTCTTTTCTCCATCTACTAAAGCTTATAACTCACTCACAAACAACAATAAACTATGTAATTTTTCCCACTGGCAAGGCTAATATCCAGGCATTTGGTGTGACCAAAGTTCATGTGTTCTCAGGGTATTTTCTGTCTTGATTAGATCTCACCCTTCTTTCTAGACAGTGTACGTAATATACTATTGCGAATTTCCTTAGTTTTCATGCTGTAGACAATGGGGTTGACCAGAGGTGGGAAAAAGAGGTATGCATTGGCCATGACAGTCTGGAGGAGTGGAGGTAAATGCCGCCCAAAGCGATGCAACAAAGAGAGGCTGATCATGGGAACATAGTACACAAGCACAGCACAGATGTGTGACACACATGTGTTGAATGCTCTCCAACGCCCTGCCCCAGAAGCTATTCCCAGTACTGTGTGAAGAATCAGCATGTAAGATATCATGATGAGCAATGAGTCCATCCCAAATGTGGAGGTAATGACAAACAGACCAAGGATGCTGTTGAGGCGCGTGTCTGCACAGGGCAATTTGATCAGATCAGAGTGGAGGCAGTAAGAATGTGTGAGGGTGTTATGGCCACAGAAAGGCAGATCCTTCAGGAGAAAGAGCAGTGGGAACATAAGTATCATGCTTCTCAAGGCAATGGTGGTGCCCATCCCAGTGATGCGGGGAATTGTCAGGATGGTTGTATAGCGCAGTGGGCTGTAAATAGCCACGAAGCGGTCTATAGACATAGCCAGAAGGACACCTGACTCCATGAGGGTAAAAGAATGCATGGAAAACATCTGGAACAGACAACCACCAAAACTGATATTATAAATGCCAAAGATAAAAATGCCTAACACAGTAGGCATGGTGGAAGCAGAAACACCAAGTTCGACAAAGGCCAGCATGGCCAGAAAGAAGTACATAGGCTGGTGCAAAGCAGATTCAATTCGAATGATATGAAGAATGGTGCCATTTCCTATGAAGATGATAATGTATATCAGGCAGAAGGGAATAGATATCCATATATACTTTGTTTTCAGCCCTGGGATGCCAGCAAGAGTGAATGTTGCAGGTGTGAACTCAATAGAACCATTGGAAATGTCATGGCGAGACTCCATTCGAAGGTATTGGAAAACACATGGAGACTGAAAAATATATATCTCTAGTCAGTTATTGTACATTACATTCTGAGCTTCTGACAGTGATAATTAAGATAATTTTTAGAAAAGAGATGGAAACCTTATTTCTGAAACAAGGGCACATGTAAACCATAATGTATGAAAGTGAAATCTGATTAGATGTGTAGAAGACTATTCCAACATGGATTATGAATATGTCTAACATAGAAGGCAGTTATAGAAATCTGAAGCTGGGTTATTTATGGCAGTGAAAAGCAGTGATAATAAGCATAGAAATGAAAACTTCATATGGATATGAGGACTGAAGAACCTGGTAACTTACTATAGTTTGTACAGGAGTTAACGAGTAGCAAAAGTAATATAACAGTAGTAAAGAACATTCTTGGTTTTAAGACTTAATAGGCTTGTGATCTTGGAGGAGTCACTTAAGTTATCTTAGCTCCAGGCATTTGATATAAACACAACAATAGTAATATAAGATGATATATGCAAATTATTTATCATTATATTTGGACCTCAGTAAATATTCAATACATTAAATAAAAGGAACAATTTTGTATATTAGAAAGCAGAGATAGTTTCTCCCAGTTTTCAGCATTTTCCAGTGCCTTTTTTTACTTATCAATTCACTCTTTCTCCACCTGCTATCCACGGATGATAGGAGAGTTTCTCTGTATTTTGCAGGAGGGTCAGTGTCTCCTGCTGGAACCTGGGATCAGACCTGAGAGTAACACCAAAGCTAACAGGATCTATTAAGCTGAGTATGATTGCGGTGCTGGGGTTCAAGGCTAAGTTTTTGTGTTTTTTTTTTTTAAATCTGGGAACAAGTTTATTAATACTAAAATTCTACTCAACTGTAGTAAGGCCTTGAGTGTTAAGATTAGGGACCAGAAATAGAATTCAGGATGGAGCTTGAGGATGAAGATAGTGAGTGAAGTCTTCCTCTCATATTGGGCTAGGGTCCTTGGTTAGGTATAAAGAGTGGAATGCTGATAAATATTTAACAATCAGATCTCTGAATAAAAATGCCAATTTCTTTGCTTAACTACTACCACTTTGAGCTATTTCATGCCACTGATGGTAGAACTGAAATATTCATAATCACCTTTCTCAAGCTGGTGGCAAGCCAGTATCATCAGTATATCATTAGGCATAATTATAGCTAGCTAATCCTAGATATCAGATACTTACTTATCCAGGTGGAATTGAGAACAAGCACATCAATACACGCATCCCCTTTCTTGTCGTTTTCTTCCAACTAGGCTGTGGGCATAGTTCCTCCTTCCCCTTATATGAGCTTAGCTGACTGTCAGGGAAGGCAAAATGAGACAGGTCCCAAAAGAGCAATTAACCATGAGTAATTGTTCTCAGAAACTTCAGCTGGATTCTACAGAAGGTAAACGAATGATTCCCATTGACAAGCATGCCAGGAAATATATATGAGTATATATATATCAAAATAAGAAAAATAAAATATTTAATATCTAAAATTACTAATTATAATTTAGACAGAGCAACTTGTTCATATTTTGAATATCTTTTTCTCTTGTCTTTTAACTTTTGTCTTTTAAGTTTGTTCATTTTGTCATATACATGTCATACATACTTTTGCGTAGTCTATTTAACATTTTTATGGCATGATACTCTTTATTTTTAAGACACTATTCCATACACAAAATCAAAATAAATATGGTAATAAAGAGAGAGATAGAACTGTAGAAATAGAAAATGATAGAGATAGATAGAGATAGAGATAGCGACAGAGATAGAGATAAAGATAGATAGAGATAGAGATGATAGAGACAGAGATAGAGATGGAGACATTAATAGTGAAAAAAAGAGATAGCAATAGAGCAGAGAGAGAGAGAAAAACTTTTACTCTTATTCCGTTTGCAGTTTGTTTTGAGAACTTAGGTGATTAAGGGTTTCATTTAATTATTCCCAAATATATAAATGTTTTTTCAATACTATGTATTAATCGGAGATCTGATCTTTTCCTAACCATTTTAAGGGATTATTTTATTTTAATTTTTAGATAAATGTAATTCTGTTTCTTGACGCTTTAGTCTGCTCTTTGATCTGATTGTCTATTTTGTCTCTTTTGTCTGATTGCCTAATTTTGCCCCCAATGCTATGATTGGTCTGTTTTCATAATATGTAAGTTCATATCTAATTGGTCATTTTACTTTTTAAATTCTTGCTGATTTTTACATATTTATTCTTTCAAATAAACATTAAATGACAACATGCATAAAAATGGACAAAAGACCTAAAAAGAAAACCTAAGACCATAAAACTTTTAGAAGAAAATAGAGGTAAATCTTCATGACATTGGAGTTGACAATAGTCTCAAGCATGACAAAAGCATAAGCAACAAAATTTAAAACATAGATAAATTAGGTTTCATAAAAGTTAAAAATTGTGTGTATCAAATAACATTATCAAGAAAGTAAAAGACAGCCTACAAAGTGAAAGAAATATTTGCAAATTATATATCTGATAAAAGATTAATATACAGAATACATAAAGAACTCAATTAATTCAAAATCAAAAAGATAAACAACCCAATTTTAAAAATGGGCAAAGGACTTAAACAGTCATTTCTCCAAAGAAAATATGCAAATGACCAAAGGCACATGTAACATAAATAAAAACCATAATAAAATATCACTTCACACCTACTAAAATGTCTATAATTTTTAAAAAAGAAAAAAGAAAACTAACAAGTGTTGACAAGGATGTGAAAAAATTAGATCCAGCATATATTGCTGATGGAAATGTAAAATTGTGTAAATTGTGTAGAAAACAATTTGTTAGTTCTTCAAAAAGTTAAGCATACAATTCCTATATAATCCCATACTTTCATCCTGAATATGTAACTCCAAAAATTGAAAACAGAGACTCAAACTGATACTTGTACATAAATGTTCATTACAGTATTATTCATAGTAGCCAAATAGTAAAAAAAACCCAAAAGTAAACATTGATTAATGGATAAAAAACCTTGTTTATACATACAAATAGATTATTACATATCCATGAAAAGGAAAAAAGTATGGATACATACTACAACATGAATAAACTTTGAAAACATTATGTTGAGTGAAATAAGCCAGACAAAAATGATAACTATTATATGACCCTACTTATATGAAATACCTAGAATAAGCAAATTTATAGAAATATAAAGCATATTGGAGATTAACAGAATAAAGACTTACTGTTTAATAGGTCTATGGTTTATGTTTGAATAATAAAAAGGTTTTGGAATTAAATAGTGGTTATGGTTTTATAACATTGTGAATATTATTAATGCTACTGCATTGTACATTTAAAAAAGTTAATGTATGTAAATATTGAATCACGGCATCATACACCAGAAATTAATATAATACTGTATGTCCCCTCAACTTTAATAAAAATTTTAAATGTTATCTTCAAAGAAAATATTTTTAAAAAATTTAATACAGCAAATTTTATGGTATATATATTTACCACAATAAAAGTTTGAAAAAAAATTTTTGAAAGGAAATCACCAGTAAAACATAATGCAATCATATTAGTATTTTGAGTGGGATAACATTGAATTTATAGATTGTTTTGAAGAGAATTACTATCATTTTAATGAGTAATACGTAATAAATATTTCCTACATTTATTTTCTGTACATATACATTTTTATTACCATTTTGAATAAGGTCATTTTTCTGTTTTATTTTTTCATTTATTATTACTGCTATAAAACATTATTTTTCTCCAAGCTTTACTCAGGTATAACTTACAATATAAAATTGCACATATTTAACGTGTACAACCTGATGACACAATATAGGTATACATGAAATATCCTCACAAACCAAGCCAATCAACATATCTATCACTTCACGCCTGTATCATTTTATTTTTTTCCTTCTTTCTTATGCTGAGAATGTTCAAGATTTGCCTCTCAGCAAATTTCAAGTACACAATACAGTACAAATACTATGTATTTTTATGCTGTTCTTTTACAAGTCTGTTGACTTTCCTATGCTTTATAGATTAAAAATCACAGCATCTGCAAAATAAATAAACAAATAAAAATTAACCAAAAATTCAGATTTGTTCTTTTTTTTTTCCAATTTCTATATTTCTTTGATTTGTATTAGTTAAAATCTCAATTACAACACAGTATTCTGCAGTAGTTTTGACACTGTGTATTCTGGTCTTGTTTACCCTCTTCACACTTTAGAAACCTTTTCTTAACACTCTCTGCTCTACATCATAGAGTTTCATCATGTCTGAGGCCATTTAGGGGAGCACAAAAACCACAAGGAGGAAGATGTATTCTCTGACTAGTCTCTATATCTGCCTGGGGAAAAGCTACATTTCATCATCCAAGATGATATATCTTTTAAATCTCTGAATCTCAGAGTCTGATGACAAATTACTCAGCCTCTACCTGTTACGAAGGACTTGTCTCACTTTATTTAGCCATCTCTTAGCACTCTAAAAAAAATAAAAATAATCTATCTGGAAGAGCTGGTCAGTTTTTCTTAAGCCTGTCCATTTCCATTTTGTGTGGTATCTTGTCTTTCTTTGTCATTGTTAAGTAGCCGAGGGTTTAGTGGTCAAGAAAAGAGTAGGATATGGCAAGTTTTTGAATATATGGTGACAGAAGGAGATTTGACTGTAGATGGAGAACACACAATGCAATATAAAGATGATGTATTATAAAATTGTACTCATGAAACATTTATAATTTTATTAACCACTGTCATTCCAATAAATTCAATAAAATGAAAACAAAACATGGCAACATCTCAGTGATGTTGTATTTGACAGCTAAGCACAGTAATATAACTCCTTTCAGCATCTACAAATTCCTGAAACCTCAATCTGAACGTTTCTTTAAAATTGATGCTGTCGATTCATTTTTGTTCCTATCAAATATCATGCTTTCTAGATAGGAAATTGACATTTTCTTAGTTTCCCACTCCCAA